TACTCCCTCTTGGGTTTAGGAGGTCTTCCTCGACCCAGCGGCTTCGGAACAGGAATATCCCTGTGATCCACAATATCGTCGATGTGGACTTGTCCATCCATAATTGAGGGCAGCATCGATCTYCTGGAAGGGAATTGATCAGTCTCAGCGAAAGGTGCAAGCTTTGAGGCATGAAAGACTGGGTGAGTGCGTAGGTGCCCAGGGACACGAATGACATATGTGGGACCATGCAACTCATCTCGCACTACATCCAAGACTTCCCAGGGACCGAAGTACTGAGGCATTAGTTTGCAAGATATTCTGAACTTCTGTCCTAACTCACTAGCCTTAACCCTGACACGTTCCCCTACCTGAAATGTGGACTACCTGCGATGTTAATTCTCAGAAACAATCATGGCTTGCTGAGCCTTCTTCATATGTTCAACAACCTCTTGCAGCAACTTCTCATATTGCACACCGTTGCAGCAGATCGGTTTTCAGGTAGGAGGAAGTCCAGCGCTGATCTAGGCTTCCATCCTAAGTGCAGCTGGTTAGGACCTACACCGGTACTGCTATGTATAGCATTGTTGTACAGGCTGGCGATGAGAGGTAACTGCTCATCCCAGTCATCCTGGCTGGGCTTGATGTAATGCCTCAGCAAGTGYTGTACAACTCTATTCATTTGTCCGGCCTGTCCGTTGGCTTCGGGATGATTCCCTGAAGTCATCTGAAGTTGATTGCCCATCTGTTCCGCAATCTTCTTCCACAACTCACTTGTGAATCGGACGTCTCGATCACTAATGATGGTCTTTGGTAAACCGAGGTCCCTTACCCAGTTGTCCTTGAACAACTTGATGACGTATTCTGTCCTGGCTGTCTCTTGCATTGGTATTAGTCTAGCGTACTTGGTGAATCGGTCAATGATGGCGAAAATGTGCCTCTTACCACTCTTGCTCGTCACAAAAGTGTCCATGAAATATATGGAAACACTCAATCCCGGACCATCAGGAATAGGTAAAGGCTTCAATAACCCAAGCAGTGCTTGAGTTCGCGGCTTGTCCCACTGACAGACCTGGCAGGTCTCAACATACTTCTTCGCGTCATCTAGCATTCTGGGCCACCAGAATCGCTGTACTAAGTTAGCACTTGTCTTCTTGTAGCCAAAGTTCCCTGTTGCGTCATGACATTCGCCTAAAAATAAACTACGCAACTGTTCACTAGATGGAATTACCAATCTCTTTACTCCGGCCTTATCAAGATAGATTAGCCCATCCACCATCACAAACTCACTTTCTGTGGCCTTGTCTTTTGCCTGAAGTTTGCGGATGATGTCCATCGTGACAGGGTCTTCCTGATAGGCTCCCACCAATGATTGAGTTACTTCATTAGATACGCCAAATTAAAAACCTAGCGCACCTAGGTAGTCTGCTCTACGGGATAGCGCGTCTACAACCTTGTTGTACTCTCCCTTCAGATACTCAAGCTTGAAGTCATATTGGTTTATGACCTCAATCCATCGCTTGAGTGCATCAGAAAGAGTCGGTTGAGTCTTGATCGATTTGAGGGTCTGATGATCAGTCCTCAGATAGAAGAACCTTCCCAAAAGGAAGTGTCTCCAATGAACAAGTGTCTTGTAGAGAGCATATTGTTCGCTTTCGTAGGTGGACTTAGCCAACTTCTTCGATGGCATCTTCTTACTCATGTACTCAATCGGTCTCAACTTTTTCCCATCCTGTTGAGCCAGCACTGCGCCAATGTCSWATTGGCTTGCGTCAGTGGTCACTATGAATGGCTTTTGCGGATCGGGAACCATGAGAATTTCATGATTCATGAGTGTATGCTTCAGTCTCTTGAAAGCACCCTCGCACTCATCACTCCAGTCCCACGGTGTGTTAAGTCGAGTTAGATCAGTCAAAGGAGAGGCGACAGTAGAATAGTTCTTAACGAAGTTTCTATAGTAGCCGCACATTCCTAAGAATGACCTGACCTCAGTGACAGTCTTAGGTCGTGGCGAGTCTCGAATACTATCCACCTTCGCATCCTCCGGCCTAATCCCTTTCGCGGATACTTCATGACCCAAGTACAATATCTTAGTGCGACCGAATTCACACTTCTTTAAGTTGACCTTATACTTGTGCTGTCGAAGGAGTGAAAGTACCGTCTCAACATGCTGTGCATGCTCCTCGGCAGACTTACTAAAAATCAAAATGTCGTCTAGGTAGACCACGACAAACTTATCTAGATGGTCATGGAGAATCCGATTCATAGCGTGCTGGAATGTACCCRGCGCATTACAAAGACCGAAAGGCATCACTACAAACTCAAACAGACCATAATGAGTCTGAAAAGTTGTCTTGTGTTGGTCGTCAGGTCTTATTGCGATCTGGTGATATCCGGATTTCAAGTCTTTCTTGCTATAGTACTTGCATCCCTGCACCCTATCCAATAGGTCGTCTATGCGAGGTAGAGGCTCTGCGTTCTTCACAGTGATGGCATTGAGGCCTCTATAGTCAATGCACAT